ATTATTATCATTGTTATTATTATTATTGTTGTTATTATTATTATTATTGTTATTGTTATTAGTATTATTGTTATTGTTATAATTATTATTATTACAATTCATGACCCTGGTCCATGCGTATTCTGACTGTTTTTTTCCTTCCCCCTGGCGTGTGCAGAAGTTCCGGGAGTACACGCTAAGCTGTAACAGACTGGCTCGCCTACAGTCCAAACACAGCGCTATACAGAAGGCTATAGGGGAGAATGAGTTGTCGGGGACAGCACGGTGAGTGGTGTGTGTGTGTGAGTGTGTCGGTGAGTGGTGTGTGTGTGTGAGTGTGTGTGTGTGAGTGTGTGTGAGTGAGTGTGTGTGTGTGTGTGAGTGTGTGTGTGTGTGTGTGTGAGTCTGTGTGTTTGTGTGAGTGTGTGTGCGAATTATATGTATGCATGTTAGCCGGACAGATCTAGAGAGTAACCTGCTAAAAATAGGAGAGATCAGGTTGCCGTTCAGCAAACCTGTCATTAGCATTGATCAAAGGCCTCAAGACTTGACTGTGTTTGTTATAACAAAGGCACATAGAGCTAGATTTCATAACTTTTGGCGTTAAGTCTCAACTCACAGTGCTCCTTATTACCTGTCAAACATATACCTTCCTTATGTCTCCTCCTTCTTTCCTATCAAATATCTTTCGTCCTTTTCTCTCCTCTATCTTTCCTATCAAACATGTATCGGCCTTATCTCTCTTTCTTTTGTCAGCACCTTACTTTCTAGTAACACCTTTAATCTTTGGCTCTTATATGACCTAATTGTGTTGCAAGTGCAGTAAAACTTTAATTAAAACTTAAAAACAATTTCATAAATAGCCTCAAAATCTTATTGCTGTGTGGACCCACCTTGTGTTTATCGTGCCAGTTTATGACGCCTCTGACTTTGACCTTTGACCTTTCATACACACCCCACAGGCCGCCAGCCCCGCCCCCCAAACCCAAGAAACGTCGGATCGGCCACACCCCGCGGGTGGGTCAGCCTAAACTGTTCGGTGGCAGCCTGGAGGAGTATATAGAGGTGACTTTTCAACGCTCTCTTCTCTCGGTCTTTCTTTCTTTTATTTTATTTATTTTTACCCTGCCCATTTCTATCAAACACTCGTTCAAGTTTGACATTGGTCAAATCTTTTTCAAATTTCAGAAAAAGTCATTTTATGTTTTCAGAAAAATAGATATATGGTATCTAGATTTTTTGTGTACTATTTGGTCAGTTTTAAGGACAAGCGGGCTAACCCAGATTTCAGGAAATTTTGACCTACACCAAAAATGGGCTTTGTCCTACTTATAGAAGTTTGGTTTCATTGGTGTGTATATTTGTTTGGTTGTAGAGAAAACTCTTGTCTTTTAAAGAAACTGAACAAAGGTCCAAAAACTTTACCTTCGATTTTCTCATAACAGCGTTTTTCGGGACAGTCCCCTTTTTCTTTAAATCCACCATTTTTATTTACCCTGCCGATTTCTATCAACCACTCGTTCAAGTTTGACTTTCAAATGTCTGCAAAAGTCATTTATGTTTTCAGAAAAATAAGAATATGATATCTAGATTCTTTGTCCGAACACAATGAACTATGTATGTGTTGCTGGTGTATATGTAAAACACTCAGAGCCTGTGTGGCGGGTGGTTGGAGGGTGCCACTGGTAGCTCCTACTTCTTTGCTTTCCCCCTCTAGTTTCTGTCTGTCTGTCTGTATGTCTGTTCTCTAGTTGGGGTTGAGCACTATGAAAATGTCATATATTGTTACAAACTTCTAGCTTCTTACTCTGCCTTCAGAATAAGGCTTTGTGAAAATACAGTGGAGTCTGCTTAAACCCAACATGATTAATCGGAAAACAGCCGTAGCTTAGCATAGCGTAGCATAGCATAGCATACCTTTGCATAGCATAGCATAGCATAGCATAGCATACTATATAACATAGCATAGCATAGCACACTAAATATAACATAGCATACCTTAGCATAGCATAGCATACTATAACATAGCATAGCACAGCACACTATAACATAACATAGCATAGCACACTATAACATAGCATAGCATAACACACTATAACATAACATAGCATAGCACACTATAACATAACATAACATAACA